CTTGTGGAGCGGCGCATACATTTCGCGTCCATTACCACCCCAGGGTATTCTTGAACTTTTCGCTGATGACGGTAGCGCCTCTTTTCATGCAGAAGAGTGGGTATGAGTATGCCAGACCAGTTTCCGTGGGAGTCGAGTCAAACTTCGAGTCAGGACCATGCAACAGCCACGCTGAATGCATGCTACCAGAGGCCCAAGAAGCAAGCAAGCTCACTGCAACTCACCCAGCTTCCGCACAGAATGCATAGTACTCGCATGTCGACTCTTTGCCCCAAAATTCGGTTTGGGAGCCGAAACCTCCCTGATTGCTGCACTCAGTGTTCCACGTCTTGCGTCCTTGCCATTCGGGTAGATTGCACGTTACGCCTTGTTGTTGTTGTCGAATGATCGAGCAGGACAAGGTCAGGAGAGCGCGCGACCCACGCGGGTCAGCCCAGCTTGGTGTTCATCTTGCCTTCTCGACACGGACGGTCTGCAAAGGAAGACTTGGGCGAGGGAAAGGGACACACGGATGCCGTCTGGATGCTGAGCTGCGCAACGTGGAGCATGGATGAAGCTCATCATTGCCACAAGGGAGATGGCGATCGCGCCAAGAGTCTTGGAAGTCATGCCTAACTTGTGTGCGTCAGTGCCAAACATTCGTTGATTGTCAGCTGTGAATGGTGCAGGCAGAAGGCCTCGTCAATGGTGAGTGAGGACTGGACTGCAGACAGCAAGCAGATATATGCGGAATCTGTCCAGCGCACACCGCACAGAGCCCCATCATCGAACGCCTCTATTTCCTCCACAGCCTGCTTTCTCATCGCACTTGCACCTCTGCAGCTACGCAAAAGAAAGCTGCTTTGTGAACGACTGTCGCAGCATCTTGATGATTTCTTCATCGAGCACTTTGGCGCTCTAATCTCCTCATGCAGGCAGACTGGCAAGTGTAAAGGGTCGCAATATGTTCCGCGGAGCGAAGATGCTCCGCGGCTTTTCCGAGGTGCAGAAGTGATGTTTGCGCAGTCCAAATTGCGCTGCGGCATCCGTGCTGCAGCCAGGACGTGCAATGGGCAGCAAGCAACGAATGCACTCAAACTTGCACTGATGGCCTTTTGCGATTGTTGCGCACATCACGCACATCGTGCTGTGGTAGCAAATCGTGTCGGGGTGCTTCATCTCGAGCAAAACGGCTCAGCGCAGATGGAGGGCGCAATCAAAAGTCTTTGAGGTGCAGCAAGGGGTCAAGTCTGCTCCCCCTTGAAGGAGGATGCGTGACCCGTCGTCAATGCTTGAAATCGTGTAGGCGAGCATGGGAGATCATGATCGTATTCAATTGAAAAGACCCGAGGTGCGACCCTCTTGCGTGGAAGGCATGCATGAGGGGGGGGCGCGCCGCACTTTGTGAAGACAAGAGGGGATGGTGCACGCTCGCATTTGCAGATTGCCTTTGATCACACTCTGGCGATCGCGTCACAATTGCCGTGTCTTCAGACTTTGACCCTGGGTCGGGGGATTGGACGTGGATGAGGAGCAAGACTACCAGCCTAGATGATCCTTGATGTCTTGCGAAATATCTTCATCCTCGCTATATCATTTGTTTGAGCAAAAGTCAGCAGAGCCCCAAGGTGAACAACATCTGCTGTCGTCGCAAAGCTCCAAATCGCCTACTCACTCGTCAATGCAGTATGCAAAGACCTTTTGGACGCTCGAATCATACCACAAGTCCCACTGTGCCGTCTGACCGCCCATAGAAACGCAGTCTTGGCGCCAGTCTGACCTCTGTGCGTCGCCGTGACCCCTGTCACGGACCTCTGCAAAGCACATGAAGAAGGTGCACACACAGGATCACGTCAGCAAAACACCCAGTCATCGTGCCATGGTCGAGATGACAACAGATAAGGCATCAAATGATGTCCAGCACTCACCAACGTTGGCATGTGCCACCGGAAGAGCGGAGAACGCGGCAATGACGAGTACTGCCGGTAGGACGAAGGCGCTGTTAGGCTTGAAGAAGAGAGCATTTTGAGATCACTTTCGGTGGGTTTGGGAGCGATTGGGTGTGCTTGAATTGTCTGATATGACAGTGAAATCCGGTGCTGTGAGAGAAGGGGGGGGACCAGCAGCGGTGTGCGAGTCAGCTTTATATACCGTCTGAGAGACGAATCTCGCTGCAAATTCCACGTAGAAGAGCTGCTTCTAGAACGACAAACATTAGTTGGACGGCTATTTCCGCGATTTGTCCGAGAGCCATGGCAGGCATGCAAGCAGCCATGCAAGCAGCCATGCAGTCGATTTCCTTACCGCAATGATACGACGCATTTTTGTGATTGTCGTACCGAAGCGTATACGACGACAAAGCTTTGAATTTTGTGCAGACAGACAAAAAGCGTGGCACTCGTTGTAGTCTTGGTGTGCTGCGAAGGTCTTGCACCCACTGCAGGGAGCTGCACTTGCACAAGGCGTCCTGATCCCGGTCCACTCCGTATAAAGGTTGCGAATTGCAATTTCTAGTCGCTACGCGGACTGCGCGAGCGTAGCCAGCGAGTGGGCCGTTGATCCTGCGCAGACAGATGTGCGGGCTGTGCTCTACTACACATAGTGCCTGCCGCATGGACCTCAGCCGCAAGCAGGTTGCAATCATTCTTGGCCGCGCGTACGCGATGCTTCCGCTCTATCCAGACGCCGAACCGCTGACAGTGGAGGTGGAAGGGCGTGTCGTTGTCTTCAGAAATGGCATGCAGTAGCCCGTGGTAGACCGATGTAACCTAATCCGTGGACCGTAGACCGCGGAGACACATTCACACAGAGATCAGTCCTGAGCGCAAGGTCAATTACACGTCTCTCTGAAAGGGGGGGCGAGACTGCCTGCCTGCTGCAATTGGTGACCTTCCTCGCTGCTGCCGTGCCAGACTGATGGGCATCGTTGAGCGGTCCGATAAGTCTGTCCAGCGGACTTTCACATCGTCCAGACCATCCAATTCTCTCCTGCGGCACGCTCACTGCGAGACTACGACAATTCTCTGAGCTCGCTCATCGCACCACACTTCATCAACATGACCTTCAAGCTTGCTTGTGCCAAAATTCTGGTCGCCACCCTCGTGGGTCTCCTCGCGATTCAGCCAGAAATTCAGGCCGATGAGCTTGCCAATCAAGAGCAGCGTGAGAAAGTCTCCATGCACTTCGCCAGACAAGTGTTACCCTGAACTCATTCCTGGTCCCCCGTTTCGCAGGCATCTATCCGGAGAAAGACCTTTCGGACGCTGACATCGTGCGCCATTGGAAAGCCTGCTGCCGTGGTGTCGGGGGAAACTTGGCCACTGGAAACGCTCTACACAGATACCTAGGCACAAAGGCTGAAGGCTGGTACGGATGGTGCACAGATGAGTGAGTTGCGCCGGGTCTCGACAGCAGATTTGACACGTGCTCATCACGATCTGCCGCCGTGTTGGACGTACAGAGATCCAAAAAGTACTGTTCTCGATAGGACAAGCGATTGCAGGAACTGCATCAGCTGGTAAACGCCAGCTTGCAACAGCTGTTCGAGGCCACAGACGCCAGGGAGGTGTCAGGGTAGGAACGATGGATTGCTCAGTCTGCATGCGCTCGCGCGGGTGTAAGTGTACATGCGCGGTCACGTGGGTGCAGAGGCTAGCTACACTTTTGATGGGAGCCAACGCCAAAGACGGGCCACATCAAAGTGCTGGACGCGAGCCAACGCCAAAGACGGGCCACATCAAAGTGCTGGACGCGTGCTTTTTCCAAGTACAATCAAAATGGACGTCGTGTGAATTGAACGAGCCATCAATCCTACATCCTGATCACGTATCTCAATGAATTCGATGAGTGCAGATTGCCGCTGCCAGAAAAGCTTCAAAGCGAATATCAAAGCGTCTGCGTTGGGCGGCGCAACAATGGCGTACTATTATCATGCTTGCTCTTGGCGTGTCGATTGACTGGGCTAATTCTGACGCACTACTTGTGCGCTGATAGACGTGAGGATTTCTCATGTCAGCGAAGCAGCGCCGACAGAAAGTATAAAGAGTCTTGTGTCATGGCCTCCCTAACACTTATCTCGACAACACCTCTCCAACGCATCATCTCGAGTCTGGCACAGTCCATCTTCCCACGCAGTCTAGTCCAGCCCTTCGACTGACATCATGATTCCAGCACCTCTCCTTTCGCTCGCCTTTCTGCTTGGTGCGGCCACCGCTGTACCTCTCGGATCTCCTCTGCCTGGAGCACCTCCTCCAAATCGCTGCATGATACGTTGCCCAGCTCAAAGACACGGTGAGTCACTTTGGCGCCTCAATGGCGGCGGCGCTCACCATTGCATGTCTCATCCCGAGCTACAGTATTGAAGAACGTCCCTCGTGACCTGGACCTGCGCAAGCCCAAGGACTTTGATTGGGCTGCACTACTCTGGACGACGGCTTGCACCGCTATGGAGGGCATCAAGCCGGTTTTTGAGCTGGTGGATGGCAAGGTGGAGGTGTACTGCGCCAGCCAGTGAGCCAGCTACACGCGGATATCTCGACGCGATGCGATGAGAGCAAAGACTTACGATTCCTTCCTGCCTCAATTCAGCGATGGAAAACACGATCTTGCCGATGATGTCGTGCAGTACTGGAAGAGCAAGGGTCGTGACGGCTTTGAGCTCTGGTGAAGGCATACGCAGTCAGAGTCGAGCGCGCCCAGCAGCTCAGGAGGTGACATGACGCGCATCACGCGCATGCGCCTGCGTGCACGACTGAGTCCTCCACTCGCGACTCGGCACCAGAACTTGATCTTCCCTACATTCACGATCGAGGCACGCGCGCACGTCAGGGTGTAAATAGCTATGCGCCAGCATCCGAACACCCTTCTCCGCCCAGACAACCAATCGCAACAATGGCATCAAGTTTGCACAGTTTGTGCAACCCTTTGAGCGCGATCGCCAGCCTTGGGCAGCGCAGCGCGAACACAAGGTGCGCAGCACTGCCAATCATTCGCTCGTCGTGGCGTGTCATGGCGTGGAAAGAGCGCTGCTGATTGTGGATGCAGACGACAGAGAGGATTGATCGCACATCGTATCGCTGTCCACTTTGCAACCAAATTGCTGGACTGTCTATCGGGGACCGCACTGTTCTGTTTGCAGTGTTGTGAGTCACCTGGGACTGTCTTTAGTTCATCAGCAGAAAGCCACTTTGGATCCTCGCTCCCGCCTGGGCCTTCTCCGTTCGTTGAAGCATGGCGAAGCTCGAATGTTACACGAAGCTCAGAAAGAGCCAATTCCCACCTCCGGTGACCAGCTGCTCGAAACAAACGCGGAAGAGGGCGACACCGAGCGCTGTCCGAAATGCTGCCAGAGCTCGACTAGATTTTCCACATGGCGCCGAGGCCCGATAGCGATCCCAATTGCACAGGAGCCATGCATCTGACCAACGACAAGCTGTCTACCGACTTTCAAACAAGCAAGACGCTGGTTCTGCGCTGCACCAGGGCGTCTATGGAGTCAAGCGAAAGCTGCTTTAGCTGCGCGCGTTGTTCTGCGAACCCCGCTCTATGGGCGCAGTGGCGGCCCGCATGCCAGGACACGACGGTCCGCTCCTTTGACTCGTCCCAGTTCAGGCACCGGTAGCCTGTCGTTCTTGGTGTGTAGTTGCCTCTCTGCTCAGACCTTGTCGACATCGCGCCGATCATTCAGCATCAAGTATATTCCTGTGCGCTCTCAGCACAAGTTCAAGCCGTCTCAACGCTGTGAGCAGCAGCGGTTTGCATGTTCGTTGGAAATGCGGATCGATGACTCATGTCTTATTCGGCAGTATATAAGAAGCGAGCTTCAACGCGACTGTTTTGCGCCCATGTCACATCACCTCCCCAAGATTTTGCCCCGCTCCAAAAACTCTGCGACCAAAAGCTCCACAGCAAGTGCTCACAAAGTTTTTCACACCTCTAAAGATCAACATGAATTGGCGACTCATGTTCGCTGCAGTACTCGCTCTGCCCACCGTTCTCGGCGTCAGATGGCACGGTAAGTACTCAGCTGCGCTCGCGACGCGACGCTCCACCGTACTGACTGTGTATCCGACTTAAAGGTCTCAACAAAGCCGGTGATCTGACTGATCCTTCCACCCAATTAAACCTCATGGCTTATCGCTGGAATAACGCTTGTAGCAGCATCAAAGGCTATGGCGAGCTCAAGCCAAACGGAATTGGGGAGATCCTGTGCCACTGCACCTTGTGAGTAGAGCGAGACGAATCGTGTTGCCATGGCAATGCTTCTGAACACCTACTCACGATTGTTTGTCTGCCTTCGATTTTGCAGCAAAGACACGCACAACAAAGAATATGACTACGCTCTTGGTACTGTGGCCTACCTGGGCGCACATGGCTATCCTGGCTGGAAAGTGTCGGAAGGCTACGAAGATGATGGGAAGCGCTGATCGAGCAAAAGTCAGCGGGTTTCACCACACCGTAGCTCGAATGCATCCTTTCGGCGTCGAGCCAGACATGGCAGGTTCATATCTTCAAGAAGTGATAGATTGCTGTGATCGTCATGGTGGTGAAGAAGAGAAAGGAGAAGCTGATGAAGCATCGTCATTGAAGCTCAGTTTACGAGGTTCTTACATGACATCTGATCAGAATTCTGTGCTTTGGTTGCTTGTTACATTCAGCAGATTAAATTTGAGAGCGAGGCATGTGGATATTCTGGCCGGCGCATGTTGTCTCTTTTGGAAACACTGATCTGGAGGACGCATTCACGGTTGACGTGTCTTCAAATAGATAGCTTTGATTGGGTTCTGGGGAAAGCATCGCCGCCTGGCGGACGTTTTGACTTCTGTCACATGAGGCTTGGGATTGGGTGTGACACTTTACCAAGCCAAAATGCCCTTGACCGTACCTGTGATGTCCCATCCAGTCCTATCGTCGGCAGACTAGGCCGCTCTCAGCTTGGAACTTTCAGCGTAGAGGTCTTTAGCAACTTACTGATCGATACATTGCCCATACCAATGCAAGGAAGCTTGATAACCTACGGCAACTTGGTGGCACTTTGACGTAGATTTATCTCCTCCCTTTGCCTTGCATTCATTTGCCCAAAGGTCCGTGACTTGATCCCATGGCACTGTGGGAAACAGCGCTGCGAGCGAATGGATCATCATGGTGTCGACATGCGAGAAGGAGTCATTGTTGAGCCAGCAACGAAACATGCAGGGTCAGACGAGACACTTACCTTCTTCCTTGGCCAGCACAGCGGGTGCCATCAGCATCACAGCGGCCATGGTGGCAGCAGCATAGGTGAGGCGAGGCATGAGCATGTTGATGTGCGTGCCAAAGGATATGAAGCGATCTGTAGCAAGAGCGGGCAGTAGCGGACTGGGCAGCTGGCTTGTGAGATGCTGCAGCGGCACAATCGTAGATACTCGGCGGTGGATCACTGATCTACCGGCGTGCTGAAAGGCGTGCCTTTTAGCTCATCAAGGACGTGCGCTACGATCATGTCGAGCAGCGGCAAATGGATGCGTAGCCAAGTTGCGTTTCAGTCTTCCGCGGGCCGTCCACGCATGATGTGTCTGCAGATGTAGGTGTTTTCGACGCCGTGCAAAATGAACTCACTCCGATCGAAGCCTCTCGCGATGAAACATCAACGGCCTCCAATTGACGCCTTTTGGGTAAATCTACCTAGGAATCGATCTACTCGTTGACTGATGTTTTTAAAGTGATCATCAGTCGCACCAGCTGATACCGCGTGTGGCGCGACACGGATACAGCAAGGAACGAGGGCCGCTCGCATGACGGACCGCATCTTCAAATTCTGGCTTTGGGCGCCCGGAAGTACTAGAAGTGAGAGCGACTACGCTGTGGCAGTGCTGACAGCTCAGCAGCCGGGATGCTTCTACATTCATGAATAGTAAGCGAGTAGAGCTGAACGCCTGCTTGAAACGGACCGCGACACCGATGACCTGAGCCCCACGCTCGTTTGTCAGTCGGTGGTGCTTCTTGTTTCTGAGTGAAGCCCGGCCACTGCTAGAAGGCCCTAGAGCTGACGAACGCCACTCTGCTCGGATGTCCGAAAGCTGGTGGGACTGGTCGCGAGGACATATAAAGAAGCTCTATCGTCGCTATATTATCCTACCTCATGAGCACCTGCTCTTGCGTGATGCTGCACGACCAACGCTCGACATCTTTGGTCTAAGCGCTCGGCATCCTATCTTGAGACTCGACCAAGACGATGTTTCGTCAACTCTTACTCATGGCCATTCTGGCAACTCTGGTGGCCGCTGTCGATTGGCACTGTAAGTGGCGTTTGTCGGAATGCGTTTCTCCATCCATGCTATTACTCACATGCAAATATGTCATCGACAGACCTTTTGGCCTCTGGCGGACACGACCCGCGAAACGAGCTCAACATTGTGAACGTCTGGACGCCCGCTTGCAACCACATCAAGGGCACAGCTGAGGTGCGCAGCACCAACATAGTCATGCAGTCATGACTCAAGGCTACCGTCAAAAGACCTCGGTGGCAAAAGTGGGGTGAGGTCGCAATATCAATCGTCTACATTTCGTCAATTGCCCAACAAAAAACACCTAGCACGCCCAAAGTGGAACTCGCTTCCTGAAGGTCGCCAAATGGGCGAAAGGAGGTCCAGGAGCAAAACAAGGACCGAGCACTCCCGCAGCAGCGCGCGCGCTTGTTGCAATCTCGTATGTACGCACGAGCAAGTGTCTACGCCGCCATGCGTCCACAAGATGTCCGAATGGTGCGAAAATTCGTATCAAGTGCTTTTCGGAAGCCATGAACTCGCCAAATTGGGCCGCTGCGTAGCCATTCGTTTACTTCGCCCTCTTCAGGTAGCACCCGGCCCTCCGCTCGCAAATGCGCTGCTGCCACAGCCTTCATAAGCTTGCTATAGATACCTCTATAGATCCCTTGCGGATCCTCGCCGCTCTCTGGTTATCAACAGTCATTCTCGACACACCAAATCACTCACACAATTTCCAAACAGCTTCAAACCGGCGTTGCCTTTTTGCACATCCTCCAATGATGCTTCCACACTTGCTTATTCTACTCCTCCTACCCATCGTGGTGACTCCAGCGGCCGTGATTGTATGGTACCGTGAGTAGATCCCGAGACATTTTCCGGATAGCCACTGCATGGTCATAGACAACTGACCTGGACCCGATCCCTTCAACAGCCGTTTTGGCGGCCGGGGGTCTGAACCCTGCCACGCAGCTGGTGGAGATGCAATCGCTTTGGAATGGAGCCTGCACAAATCTTTCAGGAGCAGGCGAGCTGAAGAACGATGGCTCAGGCTACTTCGTATGCCGTTGCACAGGACCGTGAGTTTGGCCCCAGGCTTCATTCGAATCCACGCACAAATCCACTGAAGCCGCCGAGACTCTTTGACGATAGTCCTGGGGACGACCGTGCCATTAGTGCCAAGGCCCAACTCGACTATAACGGTCACAAGGGCTGGAGACTGGGAAACCCTCTCTGATTCTGAGATTTATACACCCAGCTCAATGCCCGTCCTCCACATGTCCCGTGGCTGATAAGAAGCATCTCATGAGGAGGTCCTAAAGCTGATGTGCTGCGTCTTCGGTTGCTTTGAACCATAACCCAGTGCTCGATGAGCTGTGAACCTGTAAAGGCAAAGGTAGTCTTGGTGTGAGAGACATGCACGCGCATGAGATGGCGTACGAGAAACGATAGAGTCGTCTCTACCGCACTGAGCCCGGCACTTCGAGCACCGTCAAGATCGTTGCTGCCCGTCACTGTTGATGTCTGAAGCGAAGCATACGTTGTAGTATCGCATTGCATCCACCGGGCATGTGCAGAGTTCCCTGCGCTTGGCCTGAAAGAGCTCAAATAGGTGACTTACGCTCCTTGGGATTGAAGACCAGATCTATATTGCATGCAGAAATGTGACTATAATGACTTGTGTAACGCGCTTGTATTTAACAGGGATGATGTTGTTCATATTGCAAATTTGAGCTCTAGGTACACGCATGTTTATGCGCATTGTGCGTGCGCGACATGTGGCAGAGGTGACTGAAGACCCAAATGACTCGCAGCATTGCCTTGACTACGATCACATTGCGCCTTTCGGAAGGCTTTGCGAGCTATACTGGGCGCAAATCAATAGCGGTCTCTAGCGAAGTTGAGGGCCGCAGCACCTCGATCCTCCGGACCTTTTGCTAAGACGTCACAATAATGCTGCTTCAAATTTTGCCATACACAAAGTGCAATTGGCACAAAGTGGTTTCTCGGCTGAGATGGTTGGAGAGCAATGTATTGACGTTAGAGTACCACTGCACTCAGTACATACCTCGCGAGTTGCAGGCACATCTAAGCTGAGTACTGGGGTCATATGAGCCAGACGAGGTCAAAGTTAAAAAGGTAAAGACATCTAGCCCTCATCGAGCAATGCCCCAACAACAAGCATCGAGTCATTGCTCTTTGTCTAGCAAGGAGACGATTACTTTGATACCACACCTTCTTGGCTTTGTCGAAGCCGTATCAACCACAGATCCCATCTCAATGAAGCTTGCCAACTTTCTGGTGGTGCTCAGCGCTCTCAACCTGGCGCTTCTCAGCGGAGGCGTTCAGGCCGAGCAGCTTTGGAGTAAGTTCAAAAGCCTCGCTTTTTCTTTTGCGGCCTAGACGAGCAAGCCTGAGACAATGTGACGGTTTGCACTTCAAGAAACCACCAGCATTCCAGATGGTTTTGGATACACTAGTCAACAGAATGCCTGGACTACTTCCTGCAAAAAGAAGGCTGGCAATAACGCCAACTTGAGCTACCGTTTCTCGTCTGCTGAGAATGTCAGCTACGCCTATTGTGGCAGCATGTGCGTACTTTTTTGCTGAACAGACTCGCGGAAGCTGGTACTCTGACAGTAGGCCCTCTCTCCCCCGCAGATTCCATACAGATTACGGTCAAGCCGTGGTAAACGAGCTGCAGACAAGCCATCCAGGCTGGACATTTGCTATTGTCTAGTCATATCGCTGGCTGGCACGTCGGCAGTCCAGCGGGACAAAAGTGCACTTCGAGTAGGGAGCCTCATTCCGATTCTGTCTCACTAACGAGATTTTGTGGATTCTATTGACAGCGACGTGCAAATGATCGCGTAAACGAGATGACCTCGCCTTTTGCTGCCCACCTCCGAGAAAATTGTGCTTAAATGTTGCGTACGGCTCGAATACATTTGTGCGTCGCACATCCAAACACGACTCAGAGCAGCGTGCGGATGATGCTACAGCAGTTGCACGGCATCCTGCTGCTTGCGAAGATCGCCGCGCGTCAAGGCTGGCAGTGATGACTGCAGCAGTCTTGAGCCCAGCGTTGCAGTCCAACACCTCGCCAGCAAAGTATCACATCTCGTGTATGCGAAATGCCCAGTCGTGCAATGATACCGCCGCGTTGCGCTGCACATGTACTTCCTCAACGGACGTTTTGTTGCACCTCCTCATCCCGGCATTGAAGGATACAAAGTCGGCGCAAGCAGCCACTCAACGTCCGGCAAAAGAAGTTGCAGTGGCAGGGTCGAGACTATAGAGAGGGAAGGACAGGGCATCCCGAATTTGAGGAATTCTTTGTCGGCGCAAGCAATCACTCAACTAGAGACCGGCGAAGGAAGTCGCAGCGGCAGTGCCGAGGCTATAGAGAGGGAATTACAAGGCAATCAGACAGGCGCGGAGACCCTTTAGGCGTTTAAAATGGTGTTTGATCAAGCCGGGCCAGTCCTTCCGCGGGCGTATTCCCAAGCCCACGGGCCGGCCTGCGTCTCATTACGTTCCCGTCTGCTCAAGTGTCGTCCATAAGCCAGCACTTTGCATGCAGACGTATCTAGTGCGACGTATAAGAGATCGCGCAGTCAAGCTCTCGTTCATCTTACTTTCAGTGACGACTTCAGACTGCTTCTAAGACCGTCCCTCTACGACATCGCCTACAGCTTCTCAACGCTCGCTTCCCAACATGTTGACTCCTAAGCAGCGTATCATTGCGGTCGTGCTCTGCACTTTCCTGGGCTTTGCGCAAGCGAAAATTTACTGTGAGTGCCGGGGATCGCTGCAAGAGACGGCACATCTGACATGCTACATCTACCGTAGCTTTAAAAACCTCGGTTTCCAATCCCGAAGATGCTTGGTACCGATCTTGCAGTGCCGTCGGAGGTTTCGGCACGCTCAGCCCGACGGCCATCGGCTACACCGGCTATTGTCTGGGACTGTAAGTGCAGAGGGTATTGCTTCGCGGGGGTTTTGTTGGGCAAGCGGTGAACGCTGCGCTGTGCTGACTGCCTGTACCCACATATTTGGACGTTTTGCCCAGGAATGGCCAGGATCTCGGCCAGGCCACCGTCGATAATTTGAATGCGCAGGCTACCAACTCCTGGATCGTCTTCGGCACGGGCCCGGCATGAGCCGGGGGCGAAGCAAGACAGAGAGATGGAACGGAGGCGTGATAACAAATGACAACATTTGAATTTTGCATGCTCCCCACGACCTCATTCACAGCCTTCTGTCAGTCGCTATTGCGCAACAGCTCTCCGACGCCTGTAAATGAGCATGATAATGCCGAGTGCAAGCTGTTCCTATCAGCCTCGTGACGTGATGCGGTCCAGAAACTCATAAGGCGCCACCTTCGCCCTGTTCCGACCAAACGAGCACGTGCAGTCGGGTCCCCATCAATCATCAGTTGGATTTTTTTGAGGTGCCTCACAAAGACGCCATTTCCGCGGGACCCAGCAGTCCTTTGATCTCGGTCGGAAATAACGCATGCAGATGACAAGGAATGTGATGCGATGCGAATCTACGTATTGTGCTGATCTGCTCAGTTGCCCTCGTGTGATGGGAACATACTTCCCGTGGCGATGCACGCAGCAGGTATGCACATGTCGGTGCTGGCGTACACAATCAAATTCTCCAATCCTCTTGACCAAGTGAAGACCTGTTGTTCGTGCCTAGCTGTCTGCCGGTATCCGTTGCACAACTCAGCAGCTGCCACTTTCCCCAGCAAAGCGATGCCGGTCTGTCTCGCGTGTGGGAGTTGAGAGTCTGCGCAAGGATACGCCACAGCCCGGCCCGAGGACAGTCGGTAATGCAACCGCCGTGCCGAGTGATGCCAGCAATTAAGCGTTAATTGCGGGCCTGTGCTGAGCGCGCAGCCAAAAACACTACGACGTTCAATGATGCGCGTTTTGCCGCCGCGAATGTTCCTGGGGCCGGACAAGTCAGTCAGACTTGAACCGTGCAGCGTATCTCGGCCCGAGTTGCGAAAAAGTGTCAATCAGTTGCGATTCCTTATTTAAGCCACGGCTTGGAGCGACCAGCTGGTCAATGCGACAGCTCGACCTCGTCTCCTCTATTCAAACCTCAACACGCATTTCTTGCCAAAAGAGAAAACATTAAAAAAAAAAAAAGGGGGGGGGGGGGGGG